GTTTGCCGTGTATCAGTCTTTCAATCAATATTCTCTTCCCGCGATTTCGGATTTAAACCACAACCACCAAGTGCAAACCAAAGGAAACTCTCCAATAACCGAGACAAGACAAAGTGCGATACTCTGCCCTGTGGGCTACCGGTTAACGTGGTACCACATTATGTGGTTTTCTGGTTCGACCCCTTGTCAAATCATTCCAAGGAAATACAGAGGATACATTTGATCATCACCAGTTCATAATCCGGGCAGACTATAGGTATTGGTAGCACCTCTTTCCCCTCGGATTACAATAACAGCAAGATGAGGAAAAATCATTAAGATAACTTTCCCGGAGGGGAAAATCGATTATTCCCTGTTCTAAACCTGGCTAGAAATTAATGATTTCGTTAGGAATATAAATATATTATTCACTCTCTCTCTCTCTTGTTGTTGAATCGAGGTGTGTAAATAACAAATTACAAATAACTGTACCTGTACCAACTAGTGGGCTTTCAACAGCTACCTCACTAATATTACTGAAAAATGGTCATCTGTAGTGTCGTGACTTTAAAATATAGATTGAGGGACTGACAAACATTATTTCTTCTTCTTTCAATTTAAAAAGTTGGTGTTAAAATCCCCATATAGCGATCTTTATAAACAAATATTATTCAATGTTCAGAAACTCAGTTCCTTAGGCTTTTTCGATCAATATTCTTAAAGCATGAAATCAAATAACATCGCTTCCAAGATATTTGGATCTAATTTCGACGATTGCTTCACTGTCCTCTCCGCATGTCCTACATACGTCTGAATACGTTCATTCAATTTTGTATAGTTGTACCTATAGTCCCGAGTGTCCACTTAGAGTACGTACCATCATACTTACCTCGGACTTATTCATTCTAAGGAGGCTTGCTGTACTGTTCTCGTTGGGATCATCCCATAAGATTTTTGCGGTCCTACCCACCGTTTCATTATTCAAAGTATAGGATTCTCTCACCCCAGTTTTTAATTGGGTCATCGTTGCATGGAACGGGTTTGCATTCGTTAGGTTAACTTCCTTATATTCCTTTCCCTTTATACGTAGTACATATAGGGTCCAAATGCACAGTTTACCGATGGAAGATTATTTGGTTCTTGCTCTCTAAGCTTTAACTAATTGCCTTATCGTAAGATTAGGTTTCTTGAAGAACTGCATCCGAGACGTTGGATATCTCGAAAACAAGTCTAATATAAAATTATTTTCCTAAGGCAGGGACCGAAATGCTGTATTCAAAAGGGATCAAATTTTTATGGATATTACAAATAGATCACACGATAGCAAATTGTTAAAAGGTATTCATATCTGCATCCGAAGGAAAATAACAACCGAGAAGTTGAAGATCTCGAAAACATGTCGAATATAGATTTATTTCTTTAAAGCAGGGACCAATTCCTGCATTCGAAAGGGATAGAAATATCAATGGAATTTTAAAGAGTTTATATGGAGATTTCGATAGTTTTCGAATGCCTTAATCCCCCCTAGGTTACTGCTGTGATTGAACAATCATACTGATCCGACGAGGACAGCATCCGGGCGTTACAGATCTTGAAAACAAGCATATTTTAGAATTATTTCCCTCAAACAGGAACCGAATGCTTTCGAATGCCGTAATCTGCCCTAGGTCACTGCTATAAATGGTTGATCAAACGGATCACAAGATGTCAAATTGATCATTGGATTTTGTTTAAAGTCGGTTTTTTATTTTCTCACGATCTGTAACCGCAGTGTTGGAGAATTTTACCTCAAGGCTAAAATATAAAGGTTTTCTAAAACCAAAAAAACTCCAGAAAAGAGTTGTGATTATGACGACTTAATTAAAATTGTGTCTAAATCTATACGAAAATTCTTTCCCTTTGACAATATTTTGGAATACATCCGTTACTATGGAAAATTTCATCTTTTCCGGTACTAGCACTATACGTAGTAACAAAGCTCACATAATTTTTGTTGTGATGACCGAACGAGGTCACAATAGGTTGAAAAGATAAAGTAAAACTCTCTGGAACCTCATTAATTATAATCTATCCGTCCGCTTTTTTGTTATGAACAGAGACCGGATATAGATAGTTCTATTCTACTAGAATATGATTAGATCTTTAATTATAAATTTCTCATATTTTTTGAATTTAATGGCTAATTTTCAATAAATATTATTTCCTCCAAAAATAATGGAGAACCTTGATCTTTTGTTAGGGTTCATTAACCTTAATCTTTTGTTTGGGTTCATTAACTTGTTGATATGTATGTATGTAACTAAATACTACTAAAATTCCTCTACACTATAACTTTCGCATAAAGTTTCATCTATAATTTATTAACTTTAAACACCAACTGATCGAACGAAATTCTTAACATTACATTCTAATCCATCTAATCAAACATTCCTCGTACAACCAATAACTGCGAGGCGAATAAGAACAATAAATATAAATGTTTGAGCACGTAGTAGAATATATAATTGCCTCAGCAAATGTGATAATTTGTTGGGAATAGATTTTGCATTCAAAACGTTACAGTTCATATACTACGATTTTACGACTACAAGTTACATGCATGTATGTGTAACTACATACATATAGCGATTAACTGCCAATACACACCCATTGTTAAATTGTGGGTGTTTAAAGTCATTTATCTTCTCACAACTCTGGTTACATTCTAACATTCTATTCTATACTCTCAGACATTGTTACTGTGTTCTTGAACCTCTAACTAACGTTCAAAACAGTTCATATAAAAACTGTCAATTTTAATAATAATAAACAGCAGCGCTATTACATAACAAAACCAATAGAATACTGGTATTTTCTATTATCATGTCATGAATCTTTGTTACAAAACAGTTAGGATTAAATTAATTTTATTAGAGGAATTTAGAAATCTCATCTAAGTAATGCAAATGGTAAGCAGTGGTCATTACAAATCATGTACATATAATAGTAACTAGCCCTTAACTATTATAGATGTTTTGTAATGACCATGTTTCTTTTATGGAATTATAAAGAACGTTATCATTACTGCTATATTTTTAATCTACATTGTAGCTGTATTATATGTACACCGATAAGCCGATTTCATGTACTAGTAACTAGACACGATAATGTGTAAAACGTGATCATCAATCAGTATTTTTTAAAATATATTAAAATCAAAAGAGGAAGATTTAAATGTAAATTTTGTTTAGAGCAATAATTCAATTATTTATGTATATCAACTAAAACATAATAATAAATGGAATTTTTACACAGAGGGAAAAGGAAATATACACGCCTGGTACCAAATTGACACCAAAGAGTTTATAATTGTTCAATAACATCCGTTGTCAAAGTATATGCAGACGTACGACAACACGTTTGTCAACATTTAGACAACGGATGTGTATAAAATTTAGATTTCGACAACGAATTGTTGCAATGTTGTCAACATTGCATAGTGTTGTCGTACATATGTATATACTTTGACAACGGATGGTACTGAAAAATTATAAGCAGTTTGATATCAATTTGGTACCAGGTGTGTATATTTCTTTATCCCTCTGTGTATATATAAGATATTTATTACATTACAATTAACCATTAACTTATCGGGCAGGTTGACGGCGACCACACTCCCGTTATTGAGAAGCAGACCTGAGCTTTTAGTATTAATAGAACCCATGATCTTTAGACCAACTATTCTACCATTGCACTTCAATTTAAGATATATATTAAGATATATTTTCATAGTTATTTTAGAGAATTTAAACCAGTTCTGTGTGTCCTGATTCAAAGTCATCTGCTCCAAGTTTTTCATATTGAAGCTTAATAAGTATCAATATTGTTTTATCTTTCAGAATCGGAAGGGGGACTAACACTCTCAGGATCTTTTGAAAGCGATCTATCTTAGAATTAAGCCAGAATCGATCAGATTTTATGAAATCCTTGCTATTTCTAATAATTTTGATACGTTTGTGGGTCCTCATCCAAGCGTCTAGTTCTCTACTTTAAGTTCTTTAATCGGACGCCAGAGTTTGATTGAGTCAGAGTTCTCAAGGTGTTGTGAAATGCTGGGGCCGTCCCACCTTTAACACTTTAACAATTTGGCAACTTCGAACGCAGAAAAGTATTTAAACTAACTCCCGCCAACTTGTCTCTTATAAAAAAGCAAAAATCTTTAATAGCTTTACCCTCAAGTTGCCTAATTTCAATAACCTACACTCAGATACTTGATCACTGCCGATTTATATTAAGTCGCTTTGCAGGACCTATCACCTATTGCTAATTCTCAAGTGGAGGAAATCACAGACAATGTTTCTTGTTGGTACCAACGACTTTCTCATACATTGATCATCAACTAAAGGTCATGAACAGAAACAATTTGAAAACCATTGACTAGATTTCCATTCCTTTTAATGGTCTGAGTTTCGCGAAAATCCATATTTTTTAAACTTTAGGTTAAGATAACTCAAAGAACTAACAAGAAATGACTCAGATTAAACATCCAGTTTTCTTCTTATATCCAAACCGTATCCTTCCGGAGTAACCAGAATTCCACAATAATAATTGTTGTTGTAACAGTTCGTAGCCAATAGTTCTCTCCCTGACAATCTGTCGGGTCGTTACGGAGTGAACATGAAATTATGGTGGGAACTTCGTCCAACGAATACCACGACGCCATTCAGTTTGCGCTAATTGAACTCTGGATTTGGAATATTCAGAATGTTATATCCAGAAACATAGTTGTAGAGTCTCTAGAAAGTAAGAGAGTTTTAACGATAAGTTCTCTCCTCCTCTGATAAGCTGTGTTCTAGAATTCACCCTTTGCCACCGAATTTGAGATCGGTTTTCCTGAATTGTCAAAAACTATAATATTTCACTATATTCTCCTAATATCATTACACCCTACAGAGCAATTCTAGGAATTTTATTAAACATTAACTTTTTCAAATGCATCATTTATTTTAAACGAAATTTCTTCACTTTTCTTTCAATTTCAGATCAAGCTTTTTATTATATCGGACAACAATATGGCTATCCAAACGATTTCAAATTTTAGACTGCAATGTATGTCGATTGCATGGAAATTAAATATCAATGATTTAACATTCGAAGTTATTCAAAATTTAAATGATGAGACCACCAGTGCAAAAAAGTGCATTGCAGCAAAATGAAGCAAATCGTTTGCAACATCATCAACAGACACATAAGCATTTACAACAACAAAAACAATTGCAACAGCAACCGGATATTATAGCAACAAACTTTAGTGATTTACAGCAAACCGAAACAATAGCTCGAAAATCAAAATTAGAACAACGTGAATTACTTGTTGAGAATCATTTAAATAGCGCCTGTTTTGCTCAAGTGCATCATCAGCAGCCTACAACCAGGCAACCACCGCCGCCACCACCGCCAGTAACAGCCAGAACAATAGCACGCAAATCATTGCCAACTTATTACAACGATTGTTATCAGCAGCAGCAACAGCAACATCCCACTCCCCATTTAGCTAATAGTGGTGGCATTCAAAACAATAGAAGAGATTCTTCAGCGACTGTGAAATTACTTGATCTCAGTACATCGCCACCATCACTAAACGAACCACAGTTTCGAAATCAAACAACAACTTCAGCTGAAGTATTACAGAATCGCATTTCCTCCAGCAACAATACAAACAATAGCCAGCAACGTTTCTCATTTGCCAGCCAGTATTCATCACGTTCATCGTCCAGTGACGACAGTAGCAGTATCAGCTTAACAACTGCCTGTGCTAGTTCAGCAGCTGCATCGGCAGAAGTGGGAGCTGGCCATTACAATACCTACAACAATACATTCGATGATGCAGCAGAAAATTTCATTATAAATTTTCCAGCCGATACTTCACCCCTGCCAGCTCAACCGTCACTTGTTGTTGCGGCACACTCTGACTATTGTCTGCCATTGTCCGAAACGGAACCGCTGTTGACGAATATTGAGTCAACTGTCAACGATAAACAACGTTCGATTTATCTAAATAAGAATAGTGCTTCCTTGATATTTACGCGCAAGGACTTATCAACACAAACAGCAGCAAAGACTGCAGCAGCCAACACATATCAGCAACAACAAAAGCAACAGCAATTTAAATCACAATCGAAAACAAATAATAATTTTAATGGAACGCCTGCTTCGCTCAGCTCCAAATCGTTTCCAGGTACAACTTCAACAGCTACAAACAATAGCGGTGGCCCAACCAATGTAAGACGTCAAAATCATTCCACGTTACGTTCATTTTCCGAAGAGAATTACAAGCGTAAACCCACAAAGCATTTACCAGCAACATATCATCAGCAACATCGTCGTAGCTTACAACTTAATTACAATAATAATCTTGTGACTACAACAACTTGTGGCACACACGCCAATAACAATCACTGTTGTGGTGGCAACAGTAACAGCGGTATATCCAATTCAAATTCAGCAGTTTTGCATAAAACTCATCATAGCAACCAACAGCCGTTGCAACGACAACAACAACAACAACAGCCCTTATTTAAGCAGCAGCAACAGCAGGGTCATCACTATCAGCATTGTAGTTTAAATTCAAATACAACAAACAACACGGCAACTGCAACACGCAAACAATACGCGTACTCTTGGTACGCTCCCGTCTATAGTGCTCTTGAGGAGGAACTAGAACAAGATTCTAGGGTAAGTAGTAGCAGTTGTATGAGTTAATTATGCAGAAGCACATATTTTGATCACACTTGTTTCTATTAATTCACATGTCATCATCATTCGGTTGTTGTAGTTGCTATAGTTATTAAGTTCTTCATTATTCTGTGTTGCAGTGAGTAGTTGAAGAGATTTTAAATTAAAACGTAATTTTAGGGGAATTTTTTATGTATATTTCTGAAGTGGGTAAAATGAATTGAAGAATACCTATTCGAGATGTAGACCATGGATTACACTTGGGTGAAAAATGTTTGTAGCACGAATCGAGATAGGAATGGGAAAGAACAGAAGTAGAGCAGTACAAGATACATATATCCCTCAATAGTAGAATAATGATTGAACCGTATTCGACAAACACCATTTAAAGCTCTAGGAGAACATCAAATAGATCAGAGAAATCAAAGTAAAACGCTCAACTCAAAGTCTTCTCATGAGGAAGATCATGATGCCAATCGATTCAGCGAAAGAAAATTGTTGGCTCTAGATATTTCCAAGGCCTTTGATAAAGTGTGACATGGTGTTGATAATTTCACTCGATTTATTTCGAGCTTTCTCAGAGATCGCACCATACAAGTTGTTATAGATGGATAGTAACGCAAGTCTCCGTTCTCTTCTCTACTCTGTTTCTAATTTCCATAAACGACATTCTTTATCAAACTTCTAATTCTATCTACTCTTTCTCCGATGTCAGCAATATTTTCCATTCTTATTCACTTTGATATTGGGGCAATGAGTCATAACCAGAAAGAATCGCTCAAACACGACTTAATAACAATCTCTGAATGGAGTCGAGCTATTAGAGTCGATCTCAACGTCCATTAGACTTAATGTTGCTTCTTGACTCATATGAAGCATGGTAGATTCTGTTGTTCCATCATACCCAGAATATCAATCACAAACTTTGTATATTCTGAGAATGACAATAGAGTGTCATGTCCGCTACACTAAACACATTTTTCAAGACGGTGTAAGACATACTTCACTCCAAACTGAAACTGGCACCAGGGTGTGGCTCTTCAATCGACAGGGATTTAAGAGTTCTAAAGTTTATTGCAGGAAAAGGTTCCTTTCTAATTTCGCAGGGATTTCAAAAGATTCCTCATTTATATCGTAATCCATTGAACAGTAGTTCCATTTGCCAATGGGAATAAGTTTGCCTTAAGTAAGAAGTGGGGTTGATTTCAAAATCTTTTTAGGGAATAGGCAATTTGTACACTGGAAAACAACATTTAAAACATTATTGACAGCTTCAAAATACAATAACCCGGATTATAACCGAGTAATGCCATCATGAACTCTGTAGTTCTCGAAAGTACATTCCTAATCAATGACGATTTTCTATGAAAAACAAACAGATATAATGACTAAATACAGACACATTTAGGGCAGATTATTATCTCTAAGACAAAGTTTCCATGGAAATCTAATTTAATAAGAATACCATTTGTATACGAATCCTATAACAGCGGAGAAATCTCGCGAACTTATTGAGCAGTCGTGAGAGAGTATTCCATGGAAGTATTCGTATTCCAATCTCTATAACATTCTCGACGTAGGCTCCAGTTATCGATACTGTTATATCATCTGCATTGAAAATGTTTAAAGTTGAGGAAATCCAATTTTTTTCAATGAATTCAATATTATAATGGATTGATAGATGGCGCGTTTATGAGACTGTAAGAACTTTCAAAAGGTATACATACTTTGATCCTATTGGTGAATAAGCGAATATTTAGACCCATTTGCTCTATACTGTTAAAAATATCTAAATAGAAGTCACCGTATCTATATTACTCTAGATAACGTAATGATCCGCATACAAGGATATTGTGAGTATTGTTGGATTGGCCAAAAACTGTCAAGTGGTATCGTAAAGACCCCATTTTGATAAGCCCTCAATAAGTCGTTGAATCTGGTGTTACATATTAGGTATCTTCATAGTAAAGTATACCTTTCGACAGCTAGATCAGAGCATTCGCAGAGAAGGTGGAAGAGCGTTTCTTCTTTAACTCTTTCACGTATACGGGACACCGGTGTTCCAAGAATTTTTTTTTTAAATTTTTCTCGATTTTGAGTTCACAGCTACAGTAAATGATTATTTCCAAAGAAAAATAAGTTATTTTTTAGAATTTGATGTTACTACATGCTAAAAAGGACAATATCCTTCGAAAACACTTTTTCCGTGTTTCATCAAAAATTATCAATATACGTCAAAATAAAGCGTGTGGTGAAGTCATATCCATAAAAAGTCCATCGCACAGTGGTATAGGAAAAAAAAAAGAGGGAAATAATTCGGTAACTTCTAAACGGTTAATCCGATTTTAATGAAATTTGGTATGCACAAAGAGGAGGTGTTGTCGAGTTTAGGTTTTGAATTTGGACCTTATAGGCCAACCAGGGGCCCGGCGGGGGGTCCTCAAATTAGGACACCTCGGCTATGTTAAATTTTTAAAACGATCCTATTTCTTCATTTGAGTTCCGATTTAAAAAAAATTTCGTATATAGAATCTCCTCACTATAAAAAATGTCGTCGTAGCAGTAAATTATCTCTTATAGTTTAGGAGATATTCGCATTTGAATATTAAAATTTTAAAATTTTTACCGTCCTTACTTTAGTTTTTTTGATAATAGCAGGTCCAAATATTTCCGATTTTCGCCATTTTTTTTATTTGCTTAACAACAAGTTTATATACCAAGCAGTGAAAGAATTATGTAAAAATCATGACTGAGTCCAAAGTTATAGGCATTTAAATTTAAAAAATTAAAAAAAGGCGATTTTTTGTCATTTTTTTGGGAAAAAAGTATCTTTTTCTTTTTAAGTTATCTAAAAAGTTTCTAAGAAGATGTATATAGAATTTATACTTTTTGGAAAGCTGACTTTACATAAAATACGATAAATGAAACAAAACCTAAAAATTTTTGATACCGAGGGGACCAGGTCCATCCAAAAAAACCCTATTTTTTATGGAAAATTAAATTTTGAGCAAAAATTCTCAAATCGCATAGTCGATATCAAATTATAGTGACCTGTTTTATATGACCCAATAAGTTCTTAATCATTTTGTAACGGGTTTCGATAACCCCGCCCCTGGTATGGATATAATAGGCAAAAAACCAAAAAATCCCATTTTTGGGATTTTTAAAACTTTTTTGGGAATTCCGGGATTTCTAATAAGAAAATTCGAAATTTTTATTTAATTTTGGATTTTGAGTAAAAAAATCTACCTAACTGTAAAATTTCATCAAAAAATATTCATAAATAAAATTTTTATTGCAATTTGAAAAATTTGTATCTTCGCAAAAACTGAATAAAAAACATTTTTTAATTTTTTTTAAAAAAAGTATTCAGCGAATTTTTTAATTTTCAAAAATTATATACAGTTTTGAAAAATAGACAAAATTACCTTTCCATTGATATATAACATGCCTACCTAATGTTTTTTAAGTGACAAATTAATTAGGGAAAACTCAACATCTTTTAGAAAATTTGCCTAGCACTATTATTTTCATCCATAAGGTTAACTCTTAAATTTGTTACATATATGGATGAAAATAATAGTGCTAGGTAAATTTTCTAAAAGATGTTGAGTTTTGCCTAATTAATTTGTCACTTAAAAAACATTAGGTAGGCATGTTATATATCAATGGAAAGGTAATTTTGTCTATTTTTCAAAACTGTATATAATTTTTGAAAATTAAAAAATTCGCGGAATACTTTTTTTAAAAAAAATTAAAAAATGTTTTTTATTCAGTTTTTGCGAAGATACAAATTTTTCAAATTGCAATAAAAATTTTATTTATGAATATTTTTTGATGAAATTTTACAGTTAGGTAGATTTTTTTACTCAAAATCCAAAATTAAATAAAAATTTCGAATTTTCTTATTAGAAATCCCGGAATTCCCAAAAAAGTTTTAAAAAATCCCAAAAATGGGATTTTTTGGTTTTTTGCCTATTATATCCATACCAGGGGCGGGGTTATCGAAACCCGTTACAAAATGATTAAGAACTTATTGGGTCATATAAAACAGGTCACTATAATTTGATATCGACTATGCGATTTGAGAATTTTTGCTCAAAATTTAATTTTCCATAAAAAATAGGGTTTTTTTGGATGGACCTGGTCCCCTCGGTATCAAAAATTTTTAGGTTTTGTTTCATTTATCGTATTTTATGTAAAGTCAGCTTTCCAAAAAGTATAAATTCTATATACATCTTCTTAGAAACTTTTTAGATAACTTAAAAAGAAAAAGATACTTTTTTCCCAAAAAAATGACAAAAAATCGCCTTTTTTTAATTTTTTAAATTTAAATGCCTATAACTTTGGACTCAGTCATGATTTTTACATAATTCTTTCACTGCTTGGTATATAAACTTGTTGTTAAGCAAGTAAAAAAAAATGGCGAAAATCGGAAATATTTGGACCTGCTATTATCAAAAAAACTAAAGTAAGGACGGTAAAAATTTTAAAATTTTAATATTCAAATGCGAATATCTCCTAAACTATAAGAGATAATTTACTGCTACGACGACATTTTTTATAGTGCTCGATGAGGAGATTCTATATACGAAATTTTTTTTAAATCGGAACTCAAATGAAGAAATAGGATCGTTTTAAAAATTTAACATAGCCGAGGTGTCCTAATTTGAGGACCCCCCGCCGGGCCCCTGGTTGGCCTATAAGGTCCAAATTCAAAACCTAAACTCGACAACACCTCCTCTTTGTGCACACCAAATTTCATTAAAATCGGATTAACCGTTTAGAAGTTACCGAATTATTTCCCTCTTTTTTTTTTCCTATACCACTGTGCATCGGTTTATTTTTGTGCGTGAAAGGGTTAACAGACTTGCATGTGTCCAGTAATTACTGCCCCGTGTATTTCTCACTGAAAGAAGGCCTCATGTACTTGACCCCCGTACATGTGTCCAGATTATTCTATCAATTCTCATTATATTTTTAAGAAAGAACCAGAACTAGTTTTAATCCCTACGGAGTTGCTACTGAAACGGCATTGGAGGTATCCAGATCAGATTCCTCTCTTGTTAGATCATTGGCTATTCATTTCCATAGTAGCGCAGGGTCCCAGAGGATAATAGGGAAGATTTATTAATGATGTCATATTACGTCATATATCTATAGTTCTTACCTACTGACTATCCGACTTTATGTATATTGCTTGATACATTAGAAGTTTTCCTCACGATCTTGTGAATGTGGCTCGTTTCTGAAGAGCGTTCAACAATTTCTGTCTTTCACTTTTCACCTCTTAGCCTCTTTTATGGTCTCATCATAGAGGTTTAATCTTGTTAATTCCTTAAACTACGCTTCAGCCCTACATCCCTATTATGCATACGGATGAACATATCAATTAGCCTACTTAGCCTAAAAATATATATTTTCATTACGTCAGACTATTATTTACATAGTATATTAAAAAACATACATATGTATTTTTTATAGAAATTTATATTTTCTGATTACAAACTTTTCAGGATTCCTCGCCAATTCACAATCTGGCCAATACAAAGAAACAGCACATCAACCAATACCATCAATCTCACGATCTTAATTCTTCGCTAGCACCAACAACTGATAACGAGACAGAAGCACTACTAGAAACCCGCCATAATATTAATATACAAGCTCATCTGCCGGCCAACAATCTTAAGAAAGAATCGATAACTAAACAACTTCATCCCGCAAAGTTATCACTACAAAGTACACGGAATCCCTTGGGCAAGGGGAATCATCAAGCGACCAAAGGAATTGGCCACAGTGGTGGAGGAGACGTTAACGCGGTCGAAGGATTTTCAAATTATGACTTGGAGGGCCCTCATGCAGGCTCGTTGGGGCTTGCTGGGGGCCCACAACCCAGGCGTATACGTTTCGGCAATTTTCTTAAATCTTTGGTCGGTCTGCGACCATCAGTATCAAATCGTAATGTTAATGGTGTGGTTGGTGCAAACACTTCAAATTCTACGGCAAATGAACCATACGAAGATGATGCTGGCAGCCCACCATTGGCAATACCATCATCACCGGAAATTACCATTACGCGTACGCCTTCCGAACAAAATATGGTCGTTATGCGAGATCCTTCGGGTTACCGCGAGTACAATGCCTACAGTAGTAGGGAAAAGTTAGCAAATTTCCATCGTGAGAGAGTTGTCAAGTCGGGCAGTACGTCATCCCTAAATGTTATGCAACAAAAATTGTGGAATATTATGCGTAGAGAGGGAAGTGCAATAAGTCTGCATCAAGAGAAATCACAGTCTATTGTCCACTATACGGGTCTTAGGAAATGTGAAACGGTTTTAGCCCTAACACGACAAACAACATCTCCTTGTTCACCCACAATGGGTGCGGGTGCGGGTGCTGGAGTTACGAGTAGTAATTCCAGAAATCATTTAAGTGAAAGTCATGCAACACGTCTGTCGTATACGGGTAGTGGTATATTCAGTGCTAGTGGTGTGGAGCAAATACGTCCATTAAATCGACTGAGGAATAGTATTTCCAGTATGAACAACACTTGCTCAAGATGTTCCAGCCTCCTGTCGTTGGCTGCCTCCAGTTCAAGATATTCTTTGAATAATACAACAAATCCTATGGCTCATACTTCCCAACAGCACCTACGCCAATCTAGTAACATAAGCAGTAGTAATATTAGTAATACATTTAGTCGCAGTCGCGATGGATCTGTCGAGACCGGTCTCCATTTCGCCGTTAAGCGTAATAGTCGAACATCAGCCTTGGGTTCACAACGAAATTCCACCTCCGGTGCCAATAGCACAACCAGCAGTCGAACACCATCAATAACCTCACCCACAACAACCACCGCAACTACCGCTTCCACAATAAAGCTTACAACACCACCCACCGATAATTCTTTGTCCGTACCTCTTCTCTCGCCGCCAACAACCAACTCCATGTCTTTAACATCAACTGTAATGGCACCAGTCCTCAGAGAGAGTGTAAGTTTTCCCGCTGAATCAGCGTCTCTGTTAAAAGTTGCCAACAAAAAAGAAACGTCAACCATCAAAATCAATGATGAGGGTGATATTAGAAATGTGGACTACGATGTGATTGATGGTGTCTATAGAAATAACAGTAACAACACCAGTGGCGGCAGCATTATCAACAAACCCTGTTCTTCATCTACATCCTCCTCCAACTCCACACTTTTACCGATTTCACAAGTGAACGTGACTTTATCGACAAATCCAAAAACATCAGCTTCAACCACCATCACAGAAACAGCTGCAGTTGCATCCACAACAACTGAATCTATAATGGCAACAATAATGCAACATTGCAACACTCCAAATGACTCCCTCACCCCTACTACTACACCAACAGCAACACAAGCACCACCAGCACGTCCATTCGAAATGTTCACGTGCAAGTTGTGTCTTATCGATGTCGAAAATGCCAGCAATTCAACTATATTACACCAGTGTGGCTGTCAGTTTTGTACCGAGGTAAGTTACCTTTTTTTTCCTTTTATATTCTACCTTTGTTTACTTGTTCTTCCACTTTCACATTTTCTTTTTTTGGTGCCATTCAGTTGTGCTCCATTGAATTACTGACTCCATAGAGTGTGAATTGAACACAAGGATTTATGTAGAGAAAACATGTTTTCCGTGTTATTTCTATGTTTGTGGAAGCATAAATTCCATTTATATTCTATGGAAATGAAGAAGAGATATTCTGTGTACTTTTTTTTTGTGTCCAAATACACAAATTGAATTCATCCAATAAGTTTATAGTTTTTGGGTGTGTAAATAATATTTTGTAGTTTTCATTTTTTTCTTTGTTTAAAACAAGATTTATGTATGTCACGGTTGTATGTGTGGATGTAAAAAGGATACTCACCTTACAAGGTGTATATGAATGATGTTAATGAATACTAATCGTTTTTGTGTTTGAAATGATTAAGAGATCTCATAAATTCTTTCTGTACTTTTCCCATAGAGTGTTAGGGTTAGAACTAGCTTAGATTTGACAGACTACATTTATAGCACATATGGGTTTTTTGGGCTACTTTTTGATAATATTGAAAATATATAGAAGTATAAAGAGAGCAACAGATAGAAGAAGGAATAGAATTTTAGAGTATAATTTTGAAATTATTCGCAGAGTCCTAAGTTGTAGACGAAAATAGATGAGAGTGTTAGAGACTCATATAGACATCATTAGGAATTATAAATTTTGAACCAATTACAGTATCTGATATTACTGGTAAGGTGTTTAGCATTTTAACTATGACTAGTCATTAATGACTTAATGTCCTACGAACTTTTGAATAACCCATAATGCAAGGAAATATCCGAGAATATGGTCAATCGGTTCCTTCTTATCAACAACTTCCATAGAAGTTATTATGGGGTAGACTTCGTCGAAGATACTTAGTTGTGATCTTCCTGATTATGATAAAAAGATAGTTCATTTTCCCATATAGTTTCAGAACAGATATAACATCGTTCATCTATTGGCATATAGTGAAAGGAATTTCTTCGAAGTGATGAATATCCACATCGAACATCAAGGCGCCTGCTTTCGCTAGTTCATCAATAATACAGTCGCTAATAGAAACACCGTATACTCTAACAATACCTGATACATCCAAAATCGTTTTCTGAATGTATCAGGTTTCTGTTCTTCTTATGGCCCATATTTCCGTCTGAAATATCCTAAATTCCGATATAAAAACGAACCCTCCTGACGCCCTATAACTTGTTCTAAATCATTATAGTTTGATAGATAGGATTGGCTTGTGATTTGAAATCGGGCTTATGTAGTTTTCAGATGTTGAACAATTTGATTTTGAAAATTTAAAATAACGGTCCCTAAATGATCGAAATTCTAACACTCTTATGGAGTGCCAGTTGAATTCGAATTAACTGACAGACAGACAGACAGACGGACGGACATATTTAAATCGACTCAGAAAATGATTCTGAGCTGATTGTTTTACTTTGTGGGTGGGTTTAGGACTAAGATTTTTGGGTGTTACAAACATCACCACAAACGCACAATATCCTCCTCACTATAATAGTGTAGGTTATAACGAAAGTGATCATAGATTGGAATCCTTTTAGCCCTAGCTCCACTAGTTTCCCAAGGAAATGTTTTTACCCAAAAAGCCGATATTTGTTGCAAAATAAAAGTGATCACAGTTTTAAATCCCTTTAGACATAGCGCCTTGTGTGCTTTTATGTTTTAACTGAAAAAATTGATTTTCATAGGAAATGAAAGTGATCATAGCTTTCACTTCTTTTAGCCCTATCGACTATAAAATGCCAAGAAACTTGACTTTATGATTTAAACGACATAGCCACAGTATTTGAAATCAAAACTAATTAATTAAAGTTCTTGTTATATGATAGAGAAAATGCAATTCGAAATATGATAAAACTAACAATTCCATGTTGAATATTCTTCCTTTTATAATACCATTGATTAAAATGCAGTACAAACTAATCCAGATAAGAAACAAATTCCTTTGATTATTTTTTTATTTACTTACCTAACTTTTCTATGCAATCTAATGAGTTTAAGTAATGACATCCATATCAAAGATACACATTCATATTATTTTTAGAATACACCTACACACCAAATTCCGGGAGTTATAACTAACCATAGAATACAAAAAACTTGAATAAATTTTAAATTCTAGATTTTGTTTCGTGACTTAAAGTCTGGTCATGGAACTATTTTTCTTTCAGTCCACTTCTCGGCTAACATTTTAGATTATATAAATTTCCAATATTTATATGCTTATGCTATATACATAAACTATGTTTATTATATACATATGAATACCTACTAATTTAACAGAAAGTATGTTATTGTATTTGATCTAATCAACTATTTGTCCTAAGGCAAACATTTTTCAAATAATGAATCAAACACGATTTTTATGTGGTTATCGATGGAAGGTTTTTTCCGTGAATTTAGTTTATGAATTTTTCCCTGTCAATCTTAATGATTGTTGTTGAAGTGTGTTTTTTTGTTTTATTTACCACTACACACACTCGCATACATTTTCATATATACATGTTTGTGCATGCTTCTACCCAACAGTTTTGATAGTGGCAAAGTTCGACCTTTACATAGACAACTTTTGCTTGATCAAAAAGTTTCCTTTTTTACCACTTCCAGATCCACTAATGTGTATACACTGTCTTCTTCTTAGAACCATTGTCCCTCTGCATGTCTCTTGAAATCACTGTTGAGCTACGAAACTGAAAATTTGTATAAATATTCTCATCTGATAATGTTTGTTCGGTATATCGGCCAATATCAGAACACGATTTTACCCAGCGCGCATAAATAAGCCCTTCGAATTACAATTCAAACCAACGGTTTGCAAATAGTCCATAGCAATATTCTTGGCGATCTAGTAAAATCTCCGACATGACGGTTCTATGGACCGTAATGACCCGAATTAATCGGTTATCAACTCCTGCAAGAATTTAACAATTTAAACATTTTCGAGCTCTGCTGCTCCTTTTCTTTTTGGTGCCGGAATTGATTTAAATCTCGGACCATGGTTCTGCTTTGATTTATGCAGAAGTACAACTCCTCAGTCTGCACAGTAATAATGGATACAATATTCTCCGAAAAAAACGCACCAGAAGCAACGGTGAACGATTTGCCTTCTGCACCTTGAATAATGATGATGCCCCCACACGAATTACGGGTAACTGCTATAGTTCGCCAGATATAGCGAGTCCGTGTCTGATCAACGGCACAACTTGGCGAATCATAATTTCTTTAGTATCAAATCACTTACCCATAACGATTTTATCGTCTCTGAATGTCCTAATTACAGCAACCCAAAGAAAGTAGCCTGACATGACTTCAGAAAATACATCGATCGTATCTTCAATGATCTACCACCTCTCTTCAAAGTACGAATCGGCTGCGGAGAAACTATCATCGCCGCAGCCGATCGTTTCACTGCTGCTATTACATCATCAGAATGATGATGCCCCCACACAAATTATGGGTAACTATTCCCCAGATATAGCAAGTCCGTGTCTGATCAAGTGCGCAACTTGGTGAGCCATAGTTTCTTTAGTATCAGACCACTTGCCCATAACGATTTAATCGTCTCCGAATACCCTAATTACATCAACCAAAAGAAAGTAGATTCGCATGGTTTCAGAGAATACACCGATCTTATCTTCAATGATCTATCATCTCTCTCTAAAGTACACTAAGCAGAGGAAATTCCCCGAAACTATGATCGTCGCAGTTGATCTCTTTACTCCTGCTGGACGAACTTTTACTATCTTACTTCAGCTACAGCGAAACTAGCGGATGAACGAAATTATATCCATAGTACCAACCCTGGCGGCCCACGGCTTGTAACATCAGCTGTTAGATCAATGAGTACAAGCGGAATCAATTGTTAGATTATGGAAAACCTAATCTCAGGAGTTGGTATATTGAGGTCCACGGCTCGGTCTCTTTGTTCAACCCGACATAGAAGGATCACTATAAAGTTTGCCGATATCAATAAATCCGAACTTTACAAAAGTTGTTTGAGTTATAAAAGATTGGAAAACTATAGAATCCTCGAAGAATTGGGCAAGAAATTTCTCTCGATGATTCTGAGTTCTGTTATCTCTTTTGTTTGTATTATTCCTCTTTCAACATCTAATGGAAGACATATACATGTCTGATAAGTTATGCATACAATTTTACAAAAATGAAGAACTAATTATTGTAATAAACTCTGTAGAGTACAATCTGACGATTGACCCAAACATATCTTCTCAAAACAAGTCTGAATTAGAATAGGTCCTCCTTCTGAAATTTAGCTTTAAATATAGTAGACAAGTTTTTATTGGGTCTAGCTCCTGGTTGATCGTTTTTTTAATAAACTAATACGACCCTCGCAGAAGCCACCCTAATGTTCAGTTTTAAACGCATGTGTTTGTATATATTAACGTACATTTACCACCGATTCATTCACTTAGAAATTTTAGTGCTAGCGTCGTTATTGTTGATGTATATTAGAAATCCTCCAACAAAGGACGTGTCTAGTTTGCAAACAAAATACTAATAACAACAACAATCAGTTTTGTGAATTGTCAGCATTTATCATCATTGTAAATATTTGTTGTAGTTTATTGTTTGTTTGCGTTTTTATCACAAAGGGTCCGGACCCCTTTCTGCTGTTATGCCTTGCTGTCGTCTTTAATACAGCTGCAGTCTTTGGCCAAAAAAAAACGCAATACAGTTACAGATATTTATTTACAAAGCCCTTGTAAATTGACATATCTTGGTAAATCAGATTCTTTTTAACATAAAACTATATTAATTGCTCTTTAAATGTATGATTGAGATTGTGTGTAAATGAAAGCAGAAGCCCAAGAAAAATATTTTTAAATTCATATTTAAATTTTAAATTATTTTCAAATTAATACCAAACATTTGTAATTTCTAGTTGAATCTAAACATTTCCGGTTTTGAATCATTTAGTAAAGTTCCGTTTCATCGTTGGTTTAATCAAGCCTGAAAAAATTTAGTTCAGGAAACTGTATCAACACTTCCGGTTGTCCGCCCTAAAGTATTGTTTTTGTCTTTTAATTGCTCTTCCTTAAGGATTTTGCTTTTAATATTTA